AGCAGAAGATGAATAGTTTGGTGTTTCCCACAAAAAAATCGTCAGACACTCTTTGCCAGTGCAAAATAGCTTATTCTGACTTTGACCCTCATTTGATGTCTTTCATTGGATTGGGTATTTGAAGTAAAAAGACAAAAGACTTAATTCAGCTGTTTAATCATTTAACAAACAATGGAGCCAGAAGTTGCCAGGGACAACTGCACACAACCTGAACAGCCTGGCAACCCCTCCTCATGCTGGCCACCAGCTTGTTTACACGTTGTACAGCCAGTGTGGTTCTGTTGGTCTCTCTCGCATGAGCACCACATCAAAATGAAACCCACAGGTATGTGGAGTTGAGGTCAGGACTGCCGGCAGGCCAGTCCATCCTCTCCACCTCCTAATTTCTGGAGGTAGTCTCTGACAAATCCCCCTCTGTGTTAGGAAGCAGCAACATCTTAGCAGTTCTGTCTCTAAGAGTGGGTTTGACACTAGTTGCAGAATTTCATCTCGATAGCTCTGCACTGAGATTACTCCTTGTGCTGAAATACCACCACACACCTTCGCACCTACATGCTTAACTATACAACTAAACCCAGAGAAGCATTTTCTTTACAGATGTGATGCTATTCAAGGGCAAATGAACAAGTTTTCTGAATAGTGTAAGTTTTATTGCCAAGAAGAATTTCTACAGCAAAGAAAAACTGAGCAAACACAAACATCTCTACTTTTTGTTTTTAGCTTGTCATATTTGGGTCTACATATTTTTCCTTATCCATATCCTGGATAAGTTATAGAAAATTCAGAATAAATTCAAATTTGTACAGCCAGATTTGTGCTTAACTAAGACATTAGTTCACCTCGAAACAGTTTCAAAATACCATTAAAAGCCACAAAAGAATATGACATTCCTGCCAATAATATGTATATGTAAACTAGGTTTGACCATATGTTTTTTTTAACAATGTATCTCACTAGTTTGTCGTTGTGGCAGGAAATGAACACTGCTGAGCACTACAACACCAGCACCAACGTCACCATCATGGTTCAGGATGGAGATGACCAGTACCCACGGTTTGTGCCCTGTGTGTTGCTGTTCCAGGATGAGACCAGTCGAATCTGCACCAGCCCCACGTACATGGTCAATGTCACAGAGGGAGAAGAGGTCAGCTTCTCTTTACCCTTCTTGAAATGTACTTTTACCTTAGTTAACGTTACATATTCAAACATCTGATAACCGAGTGATAGACTTCAGATACATCTGATTCACATTGCCACAAATGTACATCACGTTACAGGATATTGTGCTGGAATTTTCTCCGGGTCCCATTCATGCGGTGGATGGAGATAGAGGCATCAATTCCTCCATCAGCTATGCTATTCTCTCAGGTACAGCACATGATAAATAGGTTTAAGTCTGAGGTGTGCAGATGTCACATAAGCGATTCTGTAACTCTGTCACAAGATGAAGGTGGGCATTTCAGTATCAACAGAGAGACCGGTGAGTTGAGACTGATGAAGGGTTTAAAGGACAGACTCCTAACTCCTGTTGTGCATCTTCAAGTCATGGTAAGATTTGTTTCCCCCTGGAAATTGACAATTTGTTAAAGATTCGCCAAGCCCCGCATCGCTCTTCCACGGTTTTCAACATTGTGTGCAGGCGTACCAGGACGACGATCCCAGGAAGTACTCTGTTGCAACAGTGCTGGTCAGGCTTCTGGCAGTGAACCAGTTTCATCCAGAGTTTGAGCTGCCCGAATACTGCGGCTTCGTCACAGCTGGAAAGAGTGCAGCCTCTCTGGTCAACACATACGGAAGCAGAGCTCTGATTTTAAATGTCCTGGACCAAGACTTTGATAATGTGAGCTCTAAAGCATGCCCTCAATGCTTTGTAAATGCACTCATATCCCTTAAACATTTTCACATTTTGTTGTTCCAAAAAATACAAAATGTTTTGATTATATTTTCTGATAGACCAATATGGTTCTAAATTTATTTATTACCAACATGCAAACATACCAATTTTTGCTCTTTTATTCTTAAATCAAATCCAGAGCAACAAAAACTATATTCAAAATTTTATAAATACAGTATAACACAACTGTGTGTAATTATATCTTATTATAAACAGAGGCCTCTGAGGGTTTTGTTTTTTTTAGAGAACATTAGCAAACAAACATCATCATAAAAACACCACTCAGGTCAAAGATAAAGCTCTGGAAAAGTTTCAGTTTTGGGGGTCCTGCAGAAATCAACTCATGTGGGAGAATCTACTGGCAGGATAGTTACCTACATTTTCCAAAACTCTGACCTCTGTGGAAGAGTGGCAGGACAAAAGTAATTGCTGTCAGAAAACATAAAGAAATATTGGTAAAAGTTCCCATAAACTATGTAGAGCAGTGGTCCCCAACCCTGGTGCTCAGGGTTCACTGTCCTGCATGTTTTAGATGTTTCTCTACTCTAACACAGCTGATTCAAATGATTGCATTGCCGCCTCTGCATGCCTCCAATTGCTGTAGAAGATTGTTAATCATCCACTCATTTAATCCATGTGTGAATGAGCCTAAACACAGGGACTCTGTGGTAGAAAACCTGTTGGAGGCTGCAAATGACATGAGGGTTCACTTCCCAACAGAACAAAGAACCGAACCACAAAGTCAGAGCTATATATTAGAACAGCCTTGATCTAAAACCATATGAAGATTTTTGGCAAGAGGTTATCATAGAAAATGTACGCTTGAATCTTCACAAATCCACATTACTTTATGTTGGTTTATCACAAAATATTCCAATTAAATGGATCACAGATTTAGTTGTTACAGGACAAAATGCGTCCTGGAGTTTTACTACTTTTGCAAAGCACCATACAACTTGTGCATACATGATCAAAAATTCTTGATGAAATTGTCTTTTTGTTTCTTTGACAATTGAGTTTTTTTTTTTAACAAAAAAAAAAAAAAACTCATAGGGTTTCAATCCAATGATCTACTTTGGCCTTGGCGCTACATCCAACCACACTGATATTTACCAAGTCACACAGAGCGGACTCCTGATCGCAAAGACCAGTCATCTCAAGCCGAAGCAGAAGCACGTTCTGGAGGTGAGCCTTGCTTAACTTTGATGTCGCAAACTCTTAAATAAGCTTAGATACCATTTTTATTTCACAACCAAATAACAGTTTCCTGTGTTTTGCACAGCTCAACGTAAATCTCTCAATCGGGATTTCACAAATGTATCAACAACATTGACGTTTTACAAATTTTAAACACATTTCCAGGTTATGGCTGTTGACCAGGAATCCGGTGACTCTACTTATTCTACTGTAGTAGTGGAAGTGTTACCTGAAGGACAACTGAGTAAGCTCCCACGCTGACGCAGCAGTAGCAACATTTCTGATGAGTCTGCAGGCCACAAACAAACTACAACAGTTTCTCTATGTGCCCTGCAGTCCCTCACAGTCCTCTGGTAAATGAACGCCTGACAGGCTGCACTGTGGGCAAAGCACTTTTCCTGAGTATGGCCTTCATGGGTGCAATCGGATGTATCCTGTCTGTGTTGATGTGGTTGAAGAGGAAACGCAAAGGAATGAGAGACCCGCTGGAGAGAGGCTGTGTAGCCCAGGGCAAGCACCCCAATGTGGTGAGATGCTTTTATTTTCCCGTTGCCTGAGTGATGAGTAACAGAATGGCTGCGGAAGAAAGGGATGCCAACCTGGCACATGTTATCATTCATTAAATAGTATAGCTAAGGTGCTAGAAAGCATTCCTTGGCATCAGAATCAGAGCTAAATGCACTCGCAGTGTGAGACCATAAACTGAATCATCCATCTCTCATCTGAAGCAGCACCAGCATCTGGAAAGGTTGCTCGCAGGAGGATAGAAATGCCCTGTTGGGTCAAACTCCATTTGCATTGACTAAGCCATCAACTATAATGGACAAAATCTTGAAAAGACAAAAGCAAAAGCTTGAAAAGACAAAGTGAAAACTATGAAAGGCCTTCATGAGGCCAGTGGAACTGATTCTGGTAATTGGACCATGATATTCAGAGTTAAAGACTTTAGTCACTTTATTGCTGATCCAAAACTTTCTACAGAATAATACAGTCAACTGAATTTGAGCTCTCCAGTCCAGTTAAGTTGACAACTATACCAGTGACATATTGTTAAATTTAATTGAAATATACGTGTGTTCTGAAAATTTGTTGTACTACGCTCCCACAGAGTTTACGCTGGTTCCAGTTGGTAAGTTTTTAATTAAAACTAGTCCTAACTCTTTTCCTTTCTTTCCTTCCTTTTCCCCTTTCTTTTCATTCCTTTCACAATCCGTAAATAATACCTATATGTGTCATAATTCATTGCAACACATCCATTCCTTAGTTTACACAATTTTGAGCTTTCCTATTTCTTTTTTTGTACATATACACTTACTACAAATCAATTTTTTGTCTTTTCAGTCAGGTATTTTCATAAATTATGGCAATAAATACAAATAAAGAATGCTGAAGTATTTGATAACATTATTTTTCTGAAGCTCGAAAAGTTAACCCCTTTTTCATTTGTTTTTATTCAGGTCCACATTGAGCCTTTACATTCTTATGACACATATGAGATTATGATCCCAAAATAGCCATCCCTCACTGGTAGATGTTAGTTATTGAACTCAGAAAATCATATTTCATATCAGCAGATGATTTTAACAAAACTTTATGTCATTGATTGTCATGGCATGCATGAATCGCTCCACTGGCAGGAATAAATTAAACTGCTTAATGTAAACTCAAGCGGCTGACTCTCCCCCTGTCGGTTCCTCCTCAGGTGAATCATCGTACTGGTATGCCACATATGGAGGAGGTATCCTTCCAAAATGAGGAATGTGGTACCTGCAATCTTTCCTTTAGCTTCCCAGACAAACCAGACAGTGATACCACAAAGGACATTCCTATCTGCACAGGGCCCACTTCACCAACAGCAACTGGTGTTACTGAGGCCCCTGCCCCACTTCCCACTGAAAGCTTGCAAAGTCCTGTGATCCTAAATAACAACGCTTCTACGGCAACCAAAATTTCCTGTGGCTCACCCGACTGTCCCCCTCCCAAGGAGGATATGAGCCCAACACATGTGATAGATGCTGGCAGGCCGCCAAAGGCAAACGCTGACCTACCATGTGACGTGACCTCAGGGCCTTCAGAAGAACAGTCTAACACTGATTTAGACCCAGCAACAAAGGAAGACACCAACCCTTCTCCTTTAAATGAGCAGGATGTGGAAACAAGCGCCTCAAACAACCTTGCTGAGTCAGCACCCTGCCCCTCCTCCCCATCCAGCAATGAAACGACTTCAGCAAAAATGGACGACACACTTCCAAAAACTAATGAGCAGACCCTCTCGCATTCGCCGCCACTGTCACCACCACTCCCCAAGGAGACAGGTACGCCTCCTCCCACCCCGGAGCATGGCCCTTTAAAAGCCACTTTGGTGCACATAGACACATCCCCAACTGACACCCCTCCAGATTCACCAGAGGGAGCAGGACAGACTCTGAATGCTGAGGCAGACCAACCCTCCACCTCCCTGGACCACATATATCCAACAGAAGACGTCGAAAGCCCGTCTCCGGACCGGAGGCCCTCGACAAACTCAGGAAATACCTTCAACAGTCGTGGAGAGGAGGATGAGGATGAGGACGGTTTTCTAGGTGATGATGATGTGGACAAAAACAGCGAAGGTGAGAAGCTGCTGGGCGTCTGTTCTTATTGTAGGCCCTTTATGTTAAGAGTTAGAAGTCACTTGTTGATTTTATTACAGATGCCGAGAGTGACCGAACAGAGTTCAGAAGATGGAGCAGGTGAAATGAATATGGACGGCTAAGAGCTGAGCTGAGCATCAAGAAACACCGGACAGGTTCTGCTGAGGAATGGATTACAGCACAGTCAGTGCAAGAAAAAAAACACCCAGCAACATACAATCAAGTGGAGAAAATGCACAATGCTTACTCTACATATTTCAGCTTGTTTAGATAACAACTAATGAAAACCTAATGCAGTTGACAGGTGTTTAAAGAATTTTTATTTGTCTTTGTGGCCGATTTTTTTTAAAGCTTCACCAAATATCCATACTTGCCAGTCAATGACTACTGACCCGTTTCCATGCTGGTTGATTTCCAAACTTTGCGTTTATGAAGTCAGGAAAATCTCTACATTTAAAGCCACATGGGAAAGTAAAGCCAAATTTATTCTGCGTTGTTCAGAGCTCTAAACTAAGCATACATGTAAATGTAATATTTGTTTTTCAACTTTATTATTTACCTCAAGGTTTGTTTTATATTAATGTAATCATAAGATTTCTTTTCTGAGCAAAAAATATGTTAAAATTAAATATATAATATTTTATATGTTTCATTTTATTATTTGCATAAATTAGAACAATTTGTCCTCTTTAATATAATCTGCAAACTATGGTTACCATTTCATCGCGGCTGTAAAATAATTTGTATGAAACATTAAATTTCAGGGCAATAATAAAGGCTTTCAGTCTAAGGAAGTGTTTACTTTACAGCGACGAAAGGAAGGTTGTGACATTTGTAGGTTTTAATCAACACATCAATGGTTGCACTTTAACCTGCTTAAAGATATGTATAATTACACATGAATAGTAGTTAACAACCACAGATGTGTATCTTGAGTGTGCTTGGATGGATGGATCCAACCCATTACCTAAAGCTGAAAAGTTCCCACTATAAGACAAAGCTGTGCGAGCTTTAGAGCTGCAACAGGAAGAAAATTATCTGAACTTGTGACTCTTTAAACTTAGGAAAGTTCACTAATTGTTTTGTCATTCACACAAATTAAATGAAAAGTTTCTGCTCTTTGTCACTCAAAAAGCAATACGACGACGAATAGAAAATTTAACTTAAGATTGTTTGAGTTAAATGCGGATGATCTGAAGCTGGACATTGTTTCTGTGTTGTTAAACATAAAAAAGCATTTTCTTAACAGAAATTCTGAAGTTACCTTTAGGTTTTTAGATGACAGAAATATAGAAGTGTCCGAAAGTGGAAAACCCAAACGCAAATACTATACCTTATGCAACCGAGTAATTAAGCAGGATAAAAGAAATAAACAGAAGTCAACCAATTTTATGTTTTTTTATTGAGACTTTGTTCTCAGTCAAAAAACTTTAACCTGATTGTTAGAGTGCTCAGATTGCAGGCCATTGACTTATTTTCAGTAAATTCACAAGTCAATTGCCTGTCGCTGCAGTGAGCAGTGTAAAAAATAGAACAAATTTTCAAACATCACAGAAACGATGCAAACAAAGAAGTTATTACCAGTGGTTATAGATGTTGATAGTGATGATATAAGCATAACAAAAGTGAGAAAGGAAAACTTTGAGGGAAGAGTACTTTTCCCTTAACTGTTCAAAGATTTTTTTTTGTTTTACTTGGCACACAAGTGAGTTAGTAATTCAGCTAAATCAAATAAAACTAACATAAAAACGTTCAGCAAAATCAGTCATCAAAAATACAAGTAACATATGTACACACACTCACATGCGCATACAACTGAAATGGCTATGAACAAAAAAAACAAAACAAAAAAACAAGGGAAGCAGCTTTTGATGATTTAACCAACAGTCTATATAAAGCCAGTTTCAGATTGGATCAGCCAGGAGTACATCCTATTTTCTTTTAGGTTCTGAGGTAAAACAACAAAGGTGATCCGATCCAGAACCAACTGTCCCTCAAATTCAGCTTGAATCCTTCATCTATTACAAAAGTATAGAGTTTGTCAATGTGAACCAGAAAGTAAAAAATTACAATCACTAAAATGTTGTATTGCACTAAGGCCAATGGGTCGGTGCAGCAACTGGAATTTCTTGTGTAGTTCTGGTTCTAAGCAGCCGCATTACAGATAACCACATGTTTTCAAATAATGTGAAGCGATGAAGGACATCTGAACGGGAAATTAGTATATCAGTTTAGGCCAAGCAATAGGCCCAGTGCATTCGAAAAAATAAACTCCTCTGCAGACTGGAAACTTAAACTTTGGGTGGTTTGTAAAAAAAAAAAAAAAAATGGATAAACGGGTTGTAGAAAACTGCAAGTCCAGCAGCGAAGATCTATCACTCACAAAGTCTCTACAAAAAAAAAACAAAAGAAACAGCATAATCAAGCAAATCGAGGAAGCGCAACGCACTGACCAAACTTATATGTGTAGAATGTTAGTGTGTGCACGATGAGACACATTCAGAAAATTAAATAAATTATTGTCCGTGGCGTAGGATTAGGTGAGCTCATCCCGCTTCAACGCTGGGTGGAAGGAGTCATCGGTGTGGCGAAAACACAAGATGAGCACACAGTCTGTGGAGGCAGCTGGGTGTTAGAACTCGTCGTGTCGAGTCAGAGCCTCCCCGAAGTCGGTCGCCTGGCTGCCGACGAACAGATCGTACTTATCGACAATCTCTTCCTTTGTCAGACGGCCATCCTGTGGAAGAGCAACAGTCATACAGTTAGTTTTTTCTTTTGTATTTTATCACATAAGTACGTTTAGTTATAACAGAATGCCTTTTTAGAGATTGTGAAAATCATAAATAAAATTTCATTTTTAATATACAAGCTAGATCATTCTAAAAGCTCTACTCGTCTTTTTCTGAGCCATTCCTATACTGTTTTCCGTACTTTGTCTCCGTCCGACTCGTATACGAGATGCTTGGCCTCGGCCTCGGCATGGTCGTAGTCATTGGGTAGGATCCAGTCTCTGGTCTCCTCCTTGTCCATCTTTCCGTCCTTGTTTTTGTCTCTGAATTCAGTGAACTGTTCCCTCTCGGTCTTCACCCACTCGGGTTCTGTGTTGTCTCCATCCTGGTTGTACATGTCACCTAGGATCCCACGCAACAGAAAAAGAAGACAAATACAAGAAATTAGAGGTGATAGTGTGGAAAACACTCTGAATTCTCTCCCTTCGCAGAGAGCGAGTTTGTCGCTATGCCAGAAAATGAAACAAAAGTCACAACATAAGCTGTAGTGGTTGTCCTGTCTGATAAAAGCATCTGTGTGTCATGCTTATCTTGGTTCACATTGCACTTTTGAAAGATAATACACACTCTGTCCTCACTGATCTTTATAATGATCAGCAACATTGTGTTGATTTTTTACGTAAATAGATTCAAGTTCAAGGGTATACATTCTATTTTAGGGATCTGTAAAAATGTTTTTTTGGGCAACTCAATGATATTAGCAGGCTGTAAGAACTCACCTATATATTCATCCAAGTCAATCAAACCATCGCCGTTCTTATCAATGTCTTCCATAGTTTCCTACAGAAAAATTAAAGACATCTAAGCATATAGATAATATAACATTATTCATCTGCTAAGAGCTGTCAAAGTAAATCACTCACCAGCACCACAATGTCTTTCATGTGATCATACTCCTCGGGGTGAAGGAAAGCTGTGAACTCCTCCTTGTTGGCTTTCGTGTCTTTGTCGAGGTCGGCCATCTTGAATCTCCTTTCATCTCGAGCCATCATCTGCCTGTAGCTGAAGCCATCTTCAGGATCGGAATCATCTGCAGATCAAAAGCCGCGATTTTTTTTTTTTTTTTAACTGTTAATTAAATGAGTTTCCATGTAAAATACCATGTATACATGAAACTAGTGAAATGAATAATACATGGAATCGTACCAAGAACATATCCGTAGGTAGCATTCTTGTACTCTTCCCAGGACACCATTCCATCGCCATTGAGGTCGTGGCTCTTCCACTGACGATCCACGTCGTCATAGATCCACCTCTTCTGTGCATGTTTAATCCACCTCTTCATCTCCTCAACGGTCACAAAGCCATCTTTATCCTCATCGATGCGCTCTACCAACATGCTGCAGAAAAACACATTTTTTCAAACAAAATTATTACAAAAGTCATTGCTAAGAGCAAGGAACAGCGTAAAAGGTTAATGATGACTGCTAAAAAAAATGTACGTTTGTGATGATCTTACCCAAGCCTCTCTTTGCTTTCTTCGGGCGTGAGTTGGTCAAAGGTCTTTGCCTCTTCTTGTCCCAGAAAGGCTTCGTGGTCATAGTCAAAGTTATCGGCATCATCGTGCTCCTTGTTGCTCAGAGGGTCATCGTGGTGGACACGGTCCTTCTTCTCTGTTGGTTTGCTGGTGGCGTAAACCACGCAGAGAGCGAAGCACATCACAAGCGGCCGCAGCTCCATTTTGAGTTTGTTCGAACAGAACTATGCCAGAAAATGAAACGGAAGTCACAACATAAGCTGTAGTCATTGTCCTGTGTCATGCTTATCTTGGTTCACGTTGTACTTTTAAAAGATGATACACACTCTGTCCTCACTGATCACAGCCGTTAGCCCAACACTGCATAAAGCAGAAGTTTATGACTCAGACTGCAGATAAATACCAAAGCTATTGCAAATCTTTTTAAGCTGATGCAAGCCCCAGTTGTTCTACTTTTAGTACTTTTAGTGTATCGGACGTAATATTAGACGCGTAACCCAAATAAATTCAGCGCACACAACTGAGCTGATCATCTGGCCTTAGTAAATGTTTTTGCAAACAAGCAACCTTTGGGACTATAAGATGGAGATTCTGCAGCATTCAGCGTACATTTAAGCTGCCTTTTATGACGTCACCAGAGATACATTCATGTGGAAGCTGGTTTTTGGTATCATATAACCATTTAAAACCAAATACATTGAAAAACTGACAATGAGAAGTTTTTGAGGTCACAAACTATATCTAAAGTGAGTCTGAGTGATTTTATTTTAAAAGTTTTGAATGAGTATGAAGCCTAGTACAGGATTTGCATCAACGTGAAAAAATTGTAAGGTATGGGGAAATAAATACAGAAACAATACTGCTACTAAAAGTAAAACAAAATGGAAAATAAATAATAATACAAAAGCATAAACACTAATTGTGTCCTGTGCATCTGACTACAACACACATTAACACTATAAGAAAACTAGCTCCGAAATCAGATAACTAAGTGCAAGAAAGGCAAAGCTAACGGCTGATGGGTTACATTCAAAAATACGAAAATAACTCTCATGTCTAAATACTGAAACTGAGCAATACAACTTAAAGCATCAGCTACACTGAAAGACTTGTATAGCATCTGAGCATTGTATGGTGAAGCACATAGCTTCAAACTAAGAAATCTACCTTTTAATTACTTCAAATGTATATCAACAGTAAAAGCTTTAAGTCACTTTAAAAATGCAACTGAGATGGAAATTAGATTAGGGAAATTGGGACGATTATATATATAAAAAAAATCCTTAAAATAATTTTAAATGATACAAAGTTCATGTATGTAGATTAAAAACAAAAAAGATATACCATTTAAACTACTGACAAACTTGGAGAAATCATTGCTGCTTCGTTTAAACATAAAACAAAATGTTAACATAGAACTTGTACTCTAAAACAGCAAATATTCCCATTATTTGTATATTTTCAACAAATAGTTGATCTAACTTTTTCCGGTGGTGGGGACAAATGCGATTGATTTTAGAGACGTCTAATTCAGATCATGTTCAGTACTGTAATAACACAAAACGTTTCAAGAACTCAGCACCTCTGACCGCAAGAGACAAACATTACTAGCCACTGTGACTACAGTTAAGCACAAGAAATTCAAAGTAGAACGAAGTTCAGAAAAATAACCTATTACATTTATGTGAAATATATTAATGGGGAACTGTCGGCAAGAAATCTCCCTTTAGAATCAATTCAGAACAGGCTGCACTTTTCTACCGTTTACTCTGGTGTTTCCAAGCCAGCTGTGTTTCTACAGCATCGAGCATAGTGAATTTAGAGCAACACATATTTTTCATCTACTTGTTTGCTTAATAAATATTTCAAAGGGATTTTAATTTAAGTAACAAAAAATAGCATCTGCCATTTTCTCACAACAATATTAGCAAAAGTTTTGAGTTACTTGAGATATGTACCTGTAAAAGCATTAATAAATGAAAGGGGAAAAATACGTATTTTTTCTCTAACTGCTCTTCATTGTGGCGATTAGCCTTCAGTGCCAACATAATGCTTAAATCGTTCTAATTCGTGCACTTCTGATCGCTTTTAGTCTCTACCATAATAGAGTAGTTAACTGCGGACCGTTATTTTCAATCAAAGCAACAGTTCCAACATTATGTATGTTGACCCAATCTGGCTAACGCAGAATACAGACAGTTTCATCCTCTGTCCTGCAGTTTTCCTCTTAAAACTCAAGACAATGCGCCTCCATATTATAACTCATGCAATCTTTTAAAAACCGTAACTACATAATTTAACTTCTCCAAACGTTCGTTATCTTATTCCATATGTGATCAGGAAAACTCACCGGTGTCTTCCAGGGAAGTTCGTCGTTGACGCTTTAGGCCCTCCCCTAGGAAACACACCCGTGCACTTCCTGTGAACAAGCGAAACCCTGACCAATCAGGCTTCGAGAAAGCGAATGTGATGTCGCCGGCTGATTGGTCCACTTCAGGAGAGCACCGTTGATTGGATTGGACGAAAACCGCCACGTCCTCAAAGTCAATAACATTTAGTTCATTCATAAACTGACACTACTGGGGGGACGACTGTCTGAAAATAAACTTATTACTTGATAATTAATAAATAATAAATAAATAATAACACAAAATAATTAAAATAAAATTTTAATAGTTCCGAAGTTGGCATACAAATTTTATTAATCAATTCAATTTGTAAACTTTACAAATAAGTACAAAACTCTATAAAAATAAAAACATTGATACACCAAAGATATTCACATTCAAAATAATTTAATAATTAAAATGAACAATTGAACTTTGTCTTGCTTAAAGTAAGTAAAGTAGCATTGTTTTTAAATGTGTATTATATATATATATATATATATATATATATATATATATATATATATATATATATATATATTATTTTTTACCAAGTTGGAACAACTTAAGCATAAAGAGCAAAACAAAACTATTTAAGTCTAGTAAATTTTAATTATCACAATTGGAAATAAAAAAAAGTTAGAAGGACCTCCATTCACACTACCCTATTTGTTACTATTTATTTGTTACCATTCTTCCAGAGGCATTAACAATAGAAAATAGAGATATTAGTATGTGGCAATGAGCTTCCTTCACAAGGGTGCAAGGATAATATGTGAATCCCACTGTGAGGCCTCTTACACCAAATCCTGACACCAGAAAAAAAAATCATGAAAGAAAATCAAAAACATCCAATATCAACCAAAAAGTATTCAGCCATTTACACTCTGTAACAACTACTAGTTTTGGGATATTTTTGAAGCTCAATGAGGAGGTGGCATAACTGTGTCTTCCAAAATTAAGTAATTAATTTTATTACACAGAACAAAAATATGTCCTTGTTTTGCTGTAGAAGTGCAAAAACCAATAAATCAAAGACAAATTTCTTATCCTCACACATGGAAGCCATAATATGAAATGTCTATCTCAGTCAACTGTAGAGTCTTCCAAATCTGTGTTCATAATTTCCTCTACCATGCCATGCGTCTTGTCAGTTTCGCTTTCATTAGACATGCAGGATGTGTCCTGTTTGTCATCATATCCCCCTGCTGGAACACAAATAATACTTTTGTTATGCAAAGATGAGACGTTAAGTTGGGTCATTCAACTAATACAAAACAGATAATATAAGCTCTATTGTGCAAAAGATAAGCAGAAACATTTGTATAAAAGAGAAATCAAAGCAGATATTTTTTCAAGATATTCTATCTGACCTGCAATTGTTTCATCCTCCATCTTTTCAGTGAGAAAGATTCGCTGCATCGTCAACTTCTTAACAGTGTGGCACATGTATTTGAGGCCAGGGCCACTGTGTGCTTGTCCTGCAGGCACAAAACAACAAAAAAAACAAGCAACAACACATTGAGCATATCTGATTCACAGTAAAACTGCAAAGCAATTAAATCCTTGGAGCTGACTCTCACCTTTTCTTGGTGCTGCCTCTTCAAAAAGTACACAAGTTCCCAATGCATCTAAAAAAAATGATAAGATTTTGTGTGAATTTTACTTTACCTTATATTTTTAGAAGATAAAATATTTGACAAGATTCAACATGTTTTCATTAGAACAGTGTTTTTCAACCACTGTGCCGCGGCACACTAGTGTACCGTGAGTGATCGTCAGCTGTGCCGTGGAAATTATCCAATTTCATTTTCCAGAGTATAAGCTGCTACGTTTTTCCTACATTTTGAACATGCGGTTTTTCTGTGGATTTTTCTTCAACCACCAGGGGGCTCTTTAGCATGAAGTGAATCATTGGAATGTCAAAATTGGAAATCAAAGAAGAACGCGCTAATTTTCATTTAGAACAAGCACATGCTAGCAGCAGCACGACAGAGAAATGTTTTCAAACTCATATGATGCAGCTTCTAAGTTGAGGAGTATCGATCTGGGAGTACAGGAGGGAACAAAACCCGATTTGGAGACGGAGAACTGCGTCCTTAATATATTCAGCAGTTATTAGGACGCAGCCCTCTGCTGCCCTCTGCTGGATCCTTATGGGAAACCGAGAGCGGCAGAGATACCAGCGGCCTGTAGCCCGGTGCGGCTGATATATATGTAAGTTTCCAGGAGGGGGGAGGCGGGTTAAAAAAATGTGAAGGTTTTACTATGAAAATACTATGAGCGTATTTTCCGCTCATAGTCCGGAAAATACGGTAATTGGTCTTAAAAGATTTTTTTGAAAACAAATTCATTATCTGTAAATAACGCCAT